TTTCAGCATTTTATGCAATCCAGAATGAAGCATAAAACTTATGGTTCTCTAATATTGACCTCAAATATAGATCACTTAGCCTCTAAAACACAAGCTAAATCATTTAAGCCGAAAATAGTTTTCAGGCCAAAAAAACTCAAAAATCAGCACATATAGACTAAAAATTGCAGGAGTATTTCATATCACATGAGGCAACTACATTGAGAAAAGCGTACAAAAAAATCAAACCTACAATGTGACAACTCAGACGACAAAACATGAGCAGACATTTTAAAGGCTGACATTTTTGGTAAGTACTAGAAAAAAAGTTCTTTGCTAACCCAGGCGTATTCTTCACCTCAATGCTAGGAGCCGGACACGCATAGGCGTTTGATTGTGGCCCAGGTTTAAGTAATTCAAGTGATTCTGTTAAACTAGTTTCCGAAAAACGTCTACAATCCGATTTGATGGCGCTTGCTAATCGCAAGCCTAATTATTGAAAAGCTTGTTGGTAACTTAATAAAACTGGAATTTCATGCATGGCAAAAATTTCTTACAGACTTAGGCGAGAAACGACGGGAAGACGAATGCACCTTCTTTCAAAAATTCAACCTTTTCATCTTCCTAACGGCTTGTTGTTGGTAAAATTTTGCATATTTTAGGTCAATCAACAATTTTTAGTGTCAAAATAGTTATTCTAATGACTCAAAAATGAAAATGTGTCTTTTTGTCAAAGAATAGAAAAAATGCCTAAAAAGGAAAAAGATGGCTTCTTATTTCATGCCTCACATAAAGTCGTGATTCCTAAAAAAAGTTTTTTGTTTGTTTCAATGACGCAGCAAAAATTTAAGCAGTTTCAAGCATAAAAAAATTAATCTTGTGAGTCACTCTTCATTGATGTGAATCATGTAGAGTGAAGGTTTGAAAATAACAATTTAGTATTTTCAGTTGTTTTTTTGGTTCAGGTCAATGCTGTCAAGCAAAACATCTCAAAATTGAAGACACTGTTTATTTAGACAAGAGCAAAATTGTTTCAATAAACCTTCACTCATGAGAAATTGTTGGTTGAAACATCATATTTTTAAACAAAACTGCTTGTATCAACGCGAAGCCCTGAAAGTTCCGACTGCCCTTTCACGTTTTTGAAACAAATTTTGAAAACATCAATTTGAAAACACAAAAAAAAACGATTAAATTTTGAACAGAGGCCAAGCTGAGCGTCACATCGCTTGCGATACAACACAAACATAAAAAACATAAGTAGATAAAAATCAAAAAGTAGATAAAACATAAGCTGAAAAAATCTAAGGCTGCCTAAATTGTCGTGTACCTCGATAAAAGTTTGTTCTATGCAAACCTGCCAAGCAAAACGTTTGTAAATTAAATTAGCAACGGAACGAAGCAAAAACACAGCGGACACTATTTCAGAAGAATTCAGTTGGGCCAAAAAAATTTGATCTTGTAAAAAAAAAGTTGAAGCTACGTTAAAACATTCGATTATAATATGCATAGATATTCGAGAGCGAGGCGAAGCGGAGCTTCGCATCACTTGCGGTGCAACGCAAGCGCAGCATTACTAGCTAAAAAACAGTAATGAGACGGAAATACCAAAATCGAAAAAGAAGTTTCAAGAAAAAATGAAATTAGTTTCAGAAAAAAAAACAGTCGGAAACACAACTACCATTATAACACAAGCCTTTAGAACTTACGGAGTGGTCACTAAGCCGACAACAAGTAATAAGATGCCCATTGAGCCAAAAACAAAAAAAAATCATCCGAGATTGTCATAGAACATAATCGAACAATTAAGTTTTGAAACTTTGAAATCTTGCAACACAAACTGCCTTTATTTCTCATAAAACAATCAACAATTGCTCTTGAAGCGACAAAAGTAGGGTAACTAAACCAATCAAAAATAATTCGAAACCATTAAGGCTGGAGAAAGCTTTTTAGCGAGAGAAAAACCAAAAAGGAAAACCAAGGAAAACACGCGTCAAGGCCATTATTTTTGCAAATTACAGGAATTTATTAAAAAACACTTTCAGGTACGATGATAAATGCTGACAGCACGAGTTATTTACCCGATGCGACAAATAAGCCAACAATACATTAGCAGAAAAACGGAAAAATCAAGGTCTGGTCAAGACTCGAAACCCAAAACTTAAGAACAAAGTCAACCGCGTTACTTACCTCTGGGCCAAGGGGGAAGGAATCTCCAAGTTGCTAAGGTTCAATGATAAGGAATTTCAGAAATTCCTACAAATGTGTAAAAAAATTGTTCACGGGGGAAAATCTTGTTCAGGATTACAAGACATTTTTTCTCGCAAGTGTAAAAATATAAAAATAAAGCAACTAAGATTATTAAGAAAAGCGAGTAGGATAAGTGAATAAATGTAAAAATTGCACGAGGGATAATCGAAGAGCCATTTTTATACACAGCATTGCGTAGTACAATGAGATATCGCTCAGATTTTTCAATTAATACGCACTCCTATAATCACTAGCCTTGTTACACAAATTTTGATTCTCTATCCAAACAGATTGGGGCTATTTATACTACTTTCCTTCTACACCTTCAAATTTTAACAAGTAGCATTTTTGTACACATTGTGCGATTCTTACATAAATTGAAATGCGGACTGATTAGGCCAACAATTTTTGGTCTTCATAATTAAACTTGTAAAACGACTCGTCACACTATACATCTAAGGCTCGTGTGAGGTGGGGGAAAAAGCCCAGATTTGCTATTCGCAGAAATCATGAGCTCATTTCAAAGCAACTTTGTTTTCCGAAAAAAAAATTCAACATCACTTAAGGTGGTGCACGCAATAAAAATGAATGCTATTCGTCTAGAATTCTACACGTAATTAACTCCAGTCGTATCCTGGAAACTAACAGCACAAAAACTTAGAAAAAATCTTGTATTTTTTTCAACCAACTCAACCTTCATCTTCACAAATAGCTGTCATATTGATTAATTTGCTGAGAGCAGCAGTCAAATAGGCTTAAAGCCGAGAAACAAAGTGAAATTTGGATCACCCCTTGGTCACAAAATTTTGACACAGGCGAAGTTGCATTTCGCATACACAAGCAAAAATCTGACCAACAACGCTACTGGAAGAAACTGCATGATTAAAACTTTGATTCTACAAAATTTCTTAAGTGACGCACGCCAATTATGAGTCTACATAATTGCTAAGTGACGCAAGCCAATTATGACGCATTGGCAGTACCAGTCAATTTCAAAGTACCAGTCAACTTGTTTTTTGAAAAACATCTAAATTAAAATGTTGTTAAAGCTCCATGAGTTTCAAGAAAACGGGATCAATATGCAAAATTTTGTTCCGCTGAGAAATTTGAAAATAAAAAACCGCCTTCCAGTTTGAAGTTATTCAGTCTTTCGTGACACTTTGTTCAGTAATGGAGCTCTCCTTATGTTTAGAGATAAAATGAACAGATCTAAAGCAAATGAGCCGAACTTTAGAAAATTCAAATCGCGAAAAATCAAATATGAGCGTAAAAAGATTTCTATGAAAAAACATAGCCAGTAGAAAGTTGGAAGAATGAACAGAAAAATATTGAATTAGTGTTTGAAAAAAATCTCACATTTTTAATTCTGAAAAAATAGATGCCCTCCAAGGTCTTTTTCTAGAACAATTGATGATTGGCACTTTCTAATAACATTAACCCAATTTGAGAAAACTGGATCAATAGCTAAGTTTTTTCTTCCGCTGGGAAATCTGTACTTAAAATCAACATTCGAAGCTAAACGCCGCTCATGTTTTTTGTGACCTTTACACTTCTGCTCTTCGATAGTGGTATTTGCCTTCCTTTCAAAAAAAGAAATAAACTGAACTTAAAAAATCATAAGCCAAACCGCGAAAAAAAAAAGAATTTCAGCCTGAACAATATTTAGACTTTTCCAAAAAAACCAACAAAAAAACTCACCAGCACCTATATAAGAGTCTGAACTGTTCATCGATTAGAAAAAAATCACGAAGTCATACATAAGTCTTAACTATGTACGTTTATTTACAATTGAAAAAGATGCACTTTCAAGTGCACCATTAACTTTCGGATGGCAAAATAACTAAACTGACAAGCATTAATACCATCAGCATCCATCGAAGTTACACAGTATTTTATGCATATACTGTATTGAAACTGAACACAAAAACAAACGACTTCGGTCCCGAAAAGTGAAAAAAAATCAGAGCGTTCGCTGGCGAACTCATGAAGATGATCAGAAAATTTAAGAAATTTTAGCGTCATCTGTTAGTGAGTATATACACAGCAGAGCTTTGTACTTCCTATCAGCAATGCAAAAAAAAACATTTGGGCACTTCAATGCTGATTTACGGCTTGAAGCCAAATTAAAAATTTTCGCGTACTGTTCAGGCTTCAGTCCACTTAAAGGTACAATAAACGCTTTAAACAGCACCGCTTGTTCAGCAACGAAAGTTTCTTGCTTGATCAGACATTACCTAAGTTAGCAGTTTTTGGTAATAAGTGCACTCTGAAACTGTCCTGAATAAAAAACTACTAATTTGTTTTCTTTTTATCCAGGTCGCTTCCGATTTATGTATGGGCTATAGGCCTCTAAATACGACAGCAACACACTTAGATTTCAGCTGCTACTCGCTTTTGTCTCAAATAACTGCATTTCTTCTTTAAACGACAGAGAAGACACAATTGCTGTCCAAAAATTGCAGTAGATCAACAGAAGAATACTTTCAAGATGACGCAAAATCAAGGCCATATTCTTCAAAAATTCTTCGAAAATGTGCTAAAAAATGAATTTGAGATAACAACAACTAGATAGAAACATTGAAACCATTTAATAGTTGAAATTGTACAATACATTACCACCAAAAGTATTCAAGTGCTACTAAACATCGGGGACAACAATTTTCACAATCCATTGATCAATGATTTTGACTTTAAAACTTACTCAAGTCTGAATGTTGTTCTATTGCGAACGGAAGTATCTCTAAATTTTGTTTTGTTTTAATCAACAAATGGAGACACATTAACGCGTAAAGATTCAAAAAAAATCACTCGAAAATTGAAAAAAATTATACGCAACATAAAGGCTTCAGTAGCACTTAATCTAATAATTCAAATGATTCAGAGAGCCATACCTATTCAAAACATTTTTATTGTTTGCATGTGAAAAGTTTGCCGCGTTCTTGCCTTCAAATTTAGCGCCATCCGAATAACCAGTTTTATTGTAGCTCTGGCTATTCTGCAGGTAATTTTCACTGTTTTCATTGTAAGTGTCCGATCTAGTTCTAGACTGAGACGAGGAGTGTTTGCGGTTCGGTTTCGTCGTAGAATCATTCCTTTTCTTTCCTCTAGACCCATTTGCATCCGTCGACGACACTTCGTTATAATCATAACCACTTAGAGATAAATTACTGTTATATCTCTTCATTCCTTGTCCGTTGTTATGATAACCAAGTCTTGAATGCACTCCTTGTTGATTGACGAACGACTCTAGATCATTTTGACGGTTCTGAGTGTTGAAATCTTTGTTGGTCACGCTCATTGGCCCATAGTTCAGTAACTCCTCCTGATTTTGGGCTCTTTTACGCCAGTTGCGACTGATTTCTCTATTCCCGTGCAGTGGTCCGTTGCTGTACTTTGAATTCAAGGGCGAATTTCCTTTGTTACTGGGCGTGAACTCGCGACCATAGAAATTTTCAGCCTTCTCAGATGAGCTCATCATTGCATTACTGTCTCTCGATACTGGAGACTGAACAGATGTATTTGGGTCCATAGAACCATTAATGGACGATAAACAGTCCATAGATTGATGACGACTTAGCACTTGAGCATAAGTTTTTCCACTACCACTCGAATCTGCTACTGGAATAGGTGCAATAAGGTTATGGGCTTGAAATTCATTCTTGAACAGGCCTTGAGACCGCTCTTTATCTCGCATAGTTTCTTCATAAAACCTGTCCGCTGCTTGCTTTGCAAGAGCTTCTCGTTTAGCTCGCTCTTGTTCTTGAGCGAGTCGTTCTGGGTTTGATTTGTCTTCGTTCTGTTTACCTCTGGCAGAACTCTTCCGATTCTGGTTTTCTCTTCTGTTATTGTTGTTGCCTCTCCATCTCGCCTGCCCAACTAAATCAGTGTGCCTGGGTGGGTATTTTTGCAGAATTGACCGAATTTGCTGGAATAAAATGTACGTGAGAATGATATTGGATGTTTAAATTATCTACTATCTATAAAATGACAACTAGGAGTCATCGTTTTTTGCAAAGTTTTGCACAAAAACTCTTGATAAAATAATAAAAACCTTCGATTATTGTCCATTAAGATTTTCCTAATATATTAAAACTAAGCTTATTAACTACAACTAATTGGATAATTGATGTTTTTGAGAAGCATGTCACCTCATTTTCCACACAAAACTCATAACTCTCATTGGACACCCATTAAATTTATCCATGAAATATTTTACTTATTATTTATTGTTTCTATTAGCGCCTCAACTTATCCGACATGCAAGGCCCAAACTATGTATCTCGTTGAATATTTCAAAAAAAATCTGTATGATCAGAACTGAAGCATCATACCTCGTCTCGTTGTTCATCGATGCACGACTGCAGATAGTCCACGTCATTGACCAACGACTCATAATTGGTAGATAGCTAAACACAAATATGCAGACATATAGAGGGACTTCATAGTGAGCTAACATCTTCCATACGCCAATTTTCACACTCAAGACAGCTCATTATCACTGAGGCTAGTTGTGGCATATCTATCCCCGCAAAAATGAAAATAAACTGGGAGAAATTTTCAGCCGTGCAAAAAGTACACTCGACCACTACGAAATACTTTTACGGCATTTTGAGGAAAAACTGAAAATTCCGCTGTTTTCACTGGCCGGTTTAAATTGAACTTCCATTGGAAATGATTTTGAAAACGAGTTTAAGAAAGAACTTAAAAACATAGCCAACAGACAGTTCGAAAAGAGTCAATGAACACAAGTAAACAGAAAAAAATCCACATACTGACTAGTTTTTTTTGAAGCATTCATAGTTAAAAAAAAGTATTGCCTTAACCCTATTAGAATTTCAAGACGAACTTATGATTGACATTTTTTGATAAAACTAACTCCATTTGAGAAAATTGGATAAATAGGTAAAATTTTCTATTCCGCTGGGAAATCTTAAAAATTAATTCTTCATATAGAAATCGTTCGTTTTTCGCACCATCGCGTTCGTATTTGAGAGTGCAATAAACTCAACTTTCAGCAGATCCATTCAAATTGATCTAAAAAGGTATTTATACCTAATGTCTTCACTACGTTCATCGAATCTTAATTAACTCTCTAAATATAACACTGAAAGGAAAGTGCACTTCGCAAACACAAGCAGAAAATCCGTAAAAACAAGCTCTAAAATGCAAAATGACAAATTACAACAAAAAAATAAGCCCAAAAGACATCCGGGTTCCGGAGACTCAGGGATCCGAATCCTGGAGTCCCAGACCAGGAATCAGATGCTTTAAATTGACAAGCAGCAATGAACACACTTTGATTCAATTCAAACTTTCTTTTAATAAAATTAACTATCTTTTTTAACTGGCAATGAATAACCATAAAAATGGCTTTTACGCAAATTTTTCAGCTCTAATATAAATCGTTTTGAGCTATTTTAACTAAATTCGTTCGAACTTACAACTCGATTCTTGCGATGAGCATCCACTAACTCTCTCAGAACTCTTCCCTTATCCTCCTCTTGGCGCTGCAGCTCCTGATTTGAGTTGTTCAAATCATTGCTCACTTTCTGAAAATCCACTTGCGTCTGAGTCAGCACTGAGTTGATTTCTTCTATCAACATGGTCTCTTTGTGTTCGAGCGATTCGGTCTCTTTCAAACACAGCAGAGTCGTGTCTCGCAGTTTTTTATTTTCACTATCTAAGTTAGCCACTTTCGCTTTCAAGTCTCCAGTAATTCTGTCGTTCAGTCTGAAACATACGGATTAGATCGAGCTTTAAAAGAGATGATCGTTGATGCCGATCTGATATCCTATAGAAAGCAGCTAAAAAGTTTTCGACAGTGAATGGTTTGTCTTGGGTGCTTTTACAGTTTTCTGGGATCAGTTCCTTATTTCCTCGGTAGCTTAAAAAAGGGACCATTTTCGAAATATATGATCGTTAAATTGTAACAGGTGTGAAAAATGTAAGACTCCTTACTTTGAAACTACTCCTGTGTCTGAATAATCTAAACTGCTTTCCTGCAAATTCAAACTAGAATCTTTCTCGTATAATATGCCAAGCAGTTCGTTCTTTTTTGCAACTTCGTCTTTCAGCTGCATAATTTCGGTCCGCATTTGCTCAGCTTCTGACTTCAGAGTTGAATTTTCCGCTTCCACATTTAGTTTAGCCTCGATGATTTTCTGACCCATTTGCGAGACTATCTCCAGATCATGTTTTTTCTACAACAGATATTTTCAATTCAAAAAACTGCACTTACTATTTATATAACAAAATTTTTCTATAAAAAAACGACATTTCCAGCATTTGATAATTGATTTATCTCTCCTACAAGCAACCCGACTCAGTTGGCAGTATTTAAGTTGCCCTAAAAATATTCCTTGAACATATACATTGATTTCTTATAGAAATGACTAGCAAATATATTCCGTGCCATATATATTTTGCACAATGTAATAATAGTTCGCATGTATCTCTCGCAAAATTTTCAGGGCGTGAGTTCATCCAAAGAGATATTCCTAGCATTTAAGAAAGAGAGAAAGTGTGTGACAAGAAAATTGAGTTTGTTTTTATAGGCAAGGACTAGAAACACATATCAAAATTGCCACCTCATGATCGGGCTGATTGGTTGCGTAACACTTGCAAGCAAAGACAATAGACAATTAACTGAAATCTCATTTACATTCAGGAAACAAGACTGCTCGAATCAGAGCAAAGCCCTATAATTGTGACGGGGCTGGGTCTTTTACCAGACCAACCTTGTACCATACCGATCTTAAAATAAGTCGAAGATTCGCAAAGGACGCGGTTAGAACAAACAAAACTTCGCTGAGAAACCGTAAAAACACTATCTTTAACCAGACTAAACGGCGTCATTGCATCGAACTTGTCAATCAACTTTGTTTATCGAGTCTGGCAAAAAGAGGTCCAAGTTATAACTTTTCTGAAAGTTAGTCTGTTGACGACCCTCCCAGCGCAATTGAACCAATATTTTTTCCGTTTTATTCCGAAAATTTGTTTGGATACTTGAGCTTTTCAAGCGTTGAGCTTTTCATTTGAAATCAAAAATTGTGCAAAAAAATTCAAAGATTTTTTTAACTTTAGCCGAGAATATCTCTAAAAAGAGCATTCAAAAAATTTTTCTCACAAATACTCTTTAGTTCGCTCAAAACGGTTTATTATGCGGAACTCCTGCGGGATTCTGCGTTTTATAATTCTAGGCTTATTATGCGGAACTATGCGCCGCAGATTTAAGCCAAGCCTGATTGTCACTACTGTTCAATGAACTAGACTTTGATGAAAAAAATGAGGTAAATTTTTCAAAATCCTCCCAACACGTAAATTCCAGTAGAAAGTGATACATTTTGCAGCTATGAACGCCATATTTGAATCAATTAGCCTGCTCAAATAAGAATATTTTTAGAGACGGATTAACTTTCCATCTACGATACTATTTAAAAAAAAAACGTTTGCGCGCAACAACTATTCCACACAGCGGAGAAGCGGAGCTGCGCACTAAGTGCGATACCACACTAACATAGCATTGAAAGCTAGCAGACAAAAAAAAGGAAAGCCACTAAGGAGAAAAAAACTTCGAAAACTTTTACGCGTCTAAATTCTTAAACTTAAAATCTTAAGTTTTGCGCTCACCCCCCCCCCCCCCTAAGCGTGAAAAACGTTAAATTTTTCGCTTACTTCTCCGTAAAACGATACAACAGGACAAAATATATTCCCCTCCTATGACGCAAAATAAAGTCGAAAACACAAACCGGCAAAATATTGGGTGGAAAATTACAAAAAAGCAGGCAACTGACAATTGGACAAGAGTAACGAACGCATGGAAACTGAAAAAAAAACTGACCTGTTTTTTTTTAAAAAAAACTTCGACTTTTGAATTTTGAAGAACAAGTATATGCCCTTAAATATCTTTGAATTTCAGAAACAATTTATGACAGGTGCTTTTTTGATTAAATTAACCCAATTTGAGAAAACTGGATCAATAAATGAACTTTTAATTCCGGTCGTAAGCCTGAAGATTCACTCACTTTCGAAACTAGAAGTCGATCACGTCTTTCATGATTTTAACAAATTTATCAATGGAAATAAACTGAACTTCAAAAGAAATCACTTTACACTTCAACACGTTTTAACAATGGAAATGAACTGAACTTCTGAAAAAAATCAAAGGTCGAACCGAACCGCGATAAAAAATTTGAGCCTGAACAAATTTTACACAGGCGAAGTTGCACTTTGCAAACACAAGAAAAAAATATGACTGATAACGCTACTGGAAAAATCTGAATGAGTAAAACTTTGAGTCTACAAAACTTCTTAAGTGACGCACGCCAATTATGAGTTAACATAATTGCTAAGTGACGCAAACCAATTATGACGCATTAGCAGAGCCAGTCAATTTGAAAAAAAAAGAAATTTACCAACTAACATGCCTCAATTTATAGAGCGGACGCATTTTAGCTGATATACGAAAAAGTTCATTGAAAACATCCGACCCTTCCCAGGTTCGAACCCACTTTTAATTTGTTGCGGGTCTCCTTCCCTACCACTACGCTTACAGATCCGTGATACCTTGAAGCTAAAGCGTTATTTGTAATATAATAGTCTGTGTTAAAATCCTTAGCATAAGCTGCACTTACTAGCTGGTTATTGATAAAAAGAACACATTTTGTCGCAGCAATATTTGGGTTGCAACAATATTTGCGACTTAGGTTGGAAAAAAAGAGAGTTCATAGTATAACACAAGCTTTGCTTGTGTAAATAAGACTGGAAAAAAAACAAAAAATCACCAAGACCTATATACGTTCATTACTTTTAAAAAGATTTATAACACAAGAATAAATCAAAAACACTCAATAACAATGAAACTTGCCTACAGCACCAAAAAAAAATCATTGGTCTGGCAACAAAGCTGACAAAACTTTGGCGGATATTTTTGAAACAGAATGTTTCGCGTTTAAAAAAACCAGATCTTAGCAGATTCGAACCTAGGATCTTGGCAATCCAGGCCTAGCCATTACCTCTAGACAGTGTACCAAAGCTAAAAAAAATTGAAATTAGAAAAACCAAGCTATGAAATGTTTCAAATGCTGTTGTTTAACAAGCCTTGACAACAAACTAGACTAGCGTTAAACGCTGATTACCTCGCAATATACCTCTCGTACCGAATGAAAAAGCAGCTGAACAAATGTTTCCTATCGTCAAGTCGAATTTTAAGCTTCTTGTCGGTTCCCCAAACTTTTGCGGTTCCCCTCTTTAACGAGTAGTCGCCCGACCGTTTGATTGATGTTTAATGCTAAATCAATTCATTTTAAACCTTCTTAGCAATAAATTACTATTCGACAAATATCGACAAGTTTTTGTATACGAATATTTGTCTCCTCTCAGTATAAATTCCTCAATTCCTTCAAACCATCATAATTATATTTTTGGCACTTACTTCGTCCAGCAAGGCAGCAATTGACTCCACATCTCCAATAGCTTTTGCCTGCTCCGACATCCGCGCATTTCCCATGACTAAATATCAAATATCTATTAAATGGTGTTTAACTTTAGCTGCTTTCCAATCAAAGTGCCAGAAAATCTTTTAGAGCTCTTTTGACATTGAGATTTGGCTTCTCGGACCAATTTCCCTCACTAAGAGTTTTATTTGCCCGATCACTTGCAAAATAGCGCCAACCAGTGGCTGACAAATAACCTCACTTTTTTACTCAGAGGCGAAGCGGAGCTTCGCATTACTTGCGATACAATAAAGGCGTAGCATTTCAAGCTACCAAATAGACAGTGAGATGAAAGTAACTAAGTCGAAAAAAAAACTTAAAAAAAAAACATTTTTTTTCAAATACGAACAATTCAATTTCAGAAACAGACGAGAAAAACATCCACTGGCACTAACAAGTCTTTTAGTAACTTCCGAGCGATCACTAAGCCAACAACACCTGGTTAGACGCCAATTTATCCGAAAACAAAAGATGCCTAAGGAACTTGTTGTCAAAAAAAATCGATAATTTTTCTGGAAATACGAAAAACTCCATCTCAGAAAACAGACGAAAATACAACAACTAGCACTAAACAAGCTTTTAGTATTTTCTGAGCGTTTACTATGCCGACAACACAAGACTAGATACCAACAGATCCGAAAAAATGCCAAAGAAATTTGTTGTCATAAAAATCTACCATTTTTTTAAAATACGAAAAATTCAATCTCAGAAAAACAGAGGAAAACACAACCACTAGCATTAAACAAACTTTTAGTATTTTCCGAGCGTTTAATTTGCCGACAAAACGTGGTAAGATGCCAATAGATCCGAAAACAAAACATGTCAAAAGAAATTGATGCCATCAAAAAAACTTTGAGCGATTAAAAAGGGTGAACTTTTAACTTCTATATTATCATCCGAGCTGATTTATCGAAAAGAACAATCATTTTTAACGTTAAACCGACAAGGTTCACTAAGCTGCCAAAATATGAGCCTAAATCATTTAGGCCCAATAAAATTTCTAAGCAAAAAAAAACGAAAATACCGGCAAGGTATAGTAAACTAAAAAACTACAGGAGTTAATCAACGAAACTTGAAATTACAATAAAAACTTCGTTCAGTGCATTAAAAAATTGTGATGTGACAACTAAGCAGACAAAATGCAAGCCGACAACCAATAGTCCGACAACTTAGATTTTCTCGGAAAAAATCCATTTCAGACACGGTCCGGCCTGGATAAGGTCCGACCGGGACTCGGAACCCAGACCAAAGGGTGCAAAGGCTAGCGCAATACATCCAGGCCGAGAGAGGGGGACTGAAAAATGCTATGAATCGATAACAAAGCAACATCAATTTCAATTACAATCGTATAAGAAACGTTGTTTACGGGAGAAAAAGTTCTAGTTCCCGATTACAAGACACATGCTTTCGCAAGGTTAATCACCAAAACTATTTTAAAACATTATTTCTAAAAAACTTCTTGTATGCTTTGCAAAAAACTATTAAGGTCAAAAATATTTGTTACACTGTTCAGCAACCAACTATTCTTCTCTAATTAGGCTACAAAAAGCTGGAATGCGGAGCTGAACATTTAACCAGAAAAACTACCGAAATTTTTCGCAAAGATAATTGCGGTCGGAGCATTTTGGTTTTTCTTGTCCATCAACCCGATATTTGTGCATGTTTCGATTTATTTATTCCGAACTAAAATTTCATTGCCTAAACATGGTATTCCTCGAGAACTTTCATGCCATTGAAAAAAAACTTACGAAAAAAGCTGAAGAACTGTTGTAAAAATGCATTGGAGAAATCAGAGACATCAAACAGCAATTCTTTATTGTTTCTGAGGTTCTGCAATCCATATACCAAATCATCAATTCCATCGTTGAATACTTTTTCCGACTCGTTATCCAAGTTTTCTGTGGATACAACTTCCTCTGAAAAACAAACTCAGTTAATAGCTTCAAATAATAGCAAACTATCAAGTGCGCATAATCTACACAGCTTTTTCCTAGCAGCTTTGCAGCATAACGTGTATTTTTCAGCGACTTTTTTCTAACTTAGCAAACAAAATCTCCATAAATCCGAAAAAAAAGAAATATTATAATGACTAGGAGACACTCACCCATTTTTCTTAGTAGAATGAGTACTGAGTCGATGCTCAACTGCGATATCTCTTCATGATCAAAGAAACGTTTGGTATTAAATTGACTGTAAGGTTATGCGAGCCACCACATTTGACGAATCTCACTACTGCTTCAAGAAAATAACTTCTTTTACTCAAGCTATAGTTGTAAGTAACGCTGTCCTCTGATAGTAATTTTATGCTTTATGTTTTTTGTGTTAAAAAATCTTGAGCCTCAAAACGCTAAAACCGACCGAAGCGGCGATTGAAAGTGCATCATGCTCTTTTTGTTCCTGTGCTTTGTACGGCATAAATGGTACAGTTTTCGTATTTCAACGGTATAAAATGTAACCAGCAAGTTGTGCAGATGCATAAAATAAAGCTCAAACATATACTAAACCAACTAAATAGATGGAATTACCATCGCTGGTATTTCGCTGACAGAAATACTAGAATTAGTTTTATCGAAATATGCGAAATCCACTAATATAGATTCAAACAAATTAAACTAAACTTCCGTTCATAGCAACAAATGGTTGCAAACAATGTTTATTCAAATCCAACGAATATAGACTCAAACTGCAGCAAAAAAATGTTTGAGCCTACAAGTTTCAATGATTTGGAACTATTCTTTCAATAGCAAACAAAACAAGGATAGCCGGTTGATGCGCAAGTAACACAGAAAGTTCCGACAACATTTTTTTTTCAAATTGTGTTCTTTTTCGTCCGTGGTAGGATGATAGGATCTGAATCAAAGCCAAGAACTTATGTATATTAAAAAAAAATTAAGTATATCGGACAGAAGTTTTCAAAAAAAAAGAATGCAAAAAAAAACATTTTCTAGAAAACCATATTTTTCAACAATCTTTTATTCCCAAGAAGGCGCTACAAAATATTCGAAACTTCTTTTTATTGGATTAAAACTTAGTTTTCACAGCTTAAACAGAAGATTATCGTCCTTTTATAAGCCTGCTTTAATTGCACGATACAAGACGAAAAATCAAAAATTTCACACTTTTCTCGACACGAATTTTGTTTCTATCGTTCGAATTACCACTGCAAATGCTTCAGTAAGATAAATCACTGGATCCATTTCAAGCATTATTTTTAAGTTCTGATTTTGCTAGAAAAAATTACACATCGGCGAGTAAATTTACTCATGGCTTCAATTACAACTTGCAATACAAAAAGCCTCCGAAGCGTAAAAAAAGGTTTGAAAAAACACCAAAACAGCATCGGAAAAAAATCATGTATTTATTTCAAAATGAAACCCATTGTGATGAAAACCTGTGGCGTAACACAAACGCCAGCATTGAACTAGCTAGCATGAAAAATTACCGAGCGATACTCTGCAGGATAAACCAGAAAAAATACTCATAACTGCAGAAAATGTAGAGAAGCTTTTGAACTTTTTGTCAACAATTCAATTTGCCATTCATTTGAATCAATTAGCAACAAAAATTCTCAGACTTCACAAGAATTTCAGGCGAAAAGTTGCTATGAACTGAGACCAAACACACTAAGAAAAAAACTATCCACAAGGTAAATGCTGGCGAAAAAACTGTCGTCTTTTTTATTTTTTCGAACGTTTTGGTAGGTACAAAAACCAGATACCTAAGTACCTAAGCTTTGGTAGGTACAAAAAAAAATTACCCTGCTTACACTTGAAATTCAAATGAAAACACTTAGCCAACAGACAAGAGGAAAAGATTCATGAACGCATGGAAACAGAAGAAAAACTTCATTTTTCGAATCTCGACAAAAAATTGGCATTAAGGTTTTCTCAACTTAAAGATCAGTTTATATGATTGACCATTTTTGATAAAAAATTTTTCAATTTAAGAAAACTAGATCAATAGGTGATTTTTTTTTGAGAAATCTGCTAACTAAAATTCAATTTCGAAACCAGAAGTCAATAGTTTTTCGTGACCTTTACACTTTTGCTGTTCAATAACGGAATTTGCCTTCCTTTTATCAAGGGAAATGAACTTAATCTAAACATAAATCAGGTCAAACCGCGAAAAAATTGTGAACAAAATTTAAGAATTTTTCCCCAACAAACCAACAAAAAATATTACCAAGACCTTTCAATAACGGAATTTGCCTTCCTTTTAACAAGGGAAATGAACTTAATCTAAACATAAATCAGGTCAAACCGCGAAAACATTGTGAACAAAATTTTAGAATTTTTCCCCAGCAAACCAACAAAAAATATTACCAAGACCTTTCTCAGAGTATTCACTGTATCATGACTCTTAAAAACGCTAAATAGAACGAGAGGAAAACATTAAATGTACTAGAAACAAATAGCGAAAATATATTCTTATTTTGCTCATACTTTTCAATAAAAGGAAAAATTGTGATCTGATAGCACTTAATGCCTCTTGCTTAGAGAAGTTATCGTTCTACTAAAATATACAGGCTAAAGCAAAATAAAAATCAATTGACGCAAAAGCGGATTGAAAACTATACCATGAAAACTGCGAATTAACTCATGGCTTCAATTATCTTCGCAGAAAAAAATAATAAGAACAGTAGGCCGCTCAAGAATTATTGACGAAAACATCCAAACAAAGTTTTAATGAAAAAAAAAAGTTTTCGAAAATTTTCAATATTTTTCAAAAAAAAAAGTTTGAGAGAGAATATTATGAACTTTCAAACCTACTATATTAAAGTTGGATCAGCATCAAAAAAAGACTAGAAACAAATAAAAAATATTAGAAAATAACCTAGAGTGAAAAAAAAATTATGTACCCGGTTGCAATACCCTGGCTTATCGAGGATTGCCCGTAGTTTTGCAAGTAGTACAGAATGTTCCGACTACACTTAACTAAAAAATCATTACAAAATTTAAAAAAGAAAATTGAAAAAATTATTTTCCATTCAACTTTTGATCAAATAACTATTAAATTTATTTTCTTGTAAAATAACGTTGAATTAACCTAGATTAATTGCATTTCTTGCATGATATACGCGCTCGAAACTGAATAGCAACTTGTTTGAACCGTTTTTTCTCGACAGAACATACTATTTAGAATTTTTAATGGTCGTTTGACTCTCGACTAAAAAGGGTGGAATATTATATATCACCCGACCCATTCTGATGATTTTTTGTGGTGCAATTTTGCTTGGAAAAAACATATCCAACAGACAGTTGGCAATGAAAGAGTGAACGCAAAATTTGAATGAACTTTTTCGAAATTTTTTGAATTTCACAATTTTTTTCATAAAAATAACCCAACTTGAAAAAACTGAATCAATAGGTAATTGTTTTCATTCCAAGGGAAAACTGAATATTAAAATCCACTTTCGAACGTGGAAGATAATCAAATTTTTTGCGACCTTTTCCTGTTTGATAGTGGAACTTGTCTTCCTTTCAACAAAGGAAAAAAACTGAAATTAAAAAGAAATCAGTACACTGCGAAAAATTAAATTTAAGCAAGAACAAAATGGACGGATTTTTCCTGAAAAGCAAAGAGACTCTTACTAGGTTCATTGACTCTTAAAAACGCACCCGAACACAAAGTTCCTCCCCGTTTTCAGTGGTCGGAAAAAGCGACAAAAAGTGAAACAGTTTCATGTCGTTGTGTTTTTCACTGAAGAGCGATGGAATTAGTTTATTTTTGGCCAATAAATAGCTACACAATGTGTAAATCGCAAAGGAATTCAACTCAGATTTTATTTACAAATGAATCTCATCGGTTCATTTAATAATTTTCTCTCATTTAGTCTCAAAACGTTAAAATTGCAGACCATCTTTTCTCGGCAGAGACAACTGTTATTGGGGAGACAACCTTTTTGATAGATAGACTGGTGTCCTGCAAATAACCAGCAAGACAATACGTCTAGCACTCGCAAATCGCTAAGTGTTAAGAATGTGACCATACGGGAAAATGCCTCATTAATTATTTAAACAAAATTTGGCGTTTCTTCAGCAAATCATTCATGAAAACTCTCGCTTCGCCATATAAAGGTTGAAAGATCAAGAAACTTCCTGTCATTCAATCTGAAAAACGGAAAATTAACAGACTTTTTTCTCTCGAAAGAGAGAACGGTTATTGGGTACTGAGCTAACCTAAGTCCTATAAAGAAACATAGCCAACAGACTGTTGAAAAACTGTCTGTTGGCTATGTTGGTTCAATAGTGCCGAAGTACAACAGTGCCGAAAATTGATGTTTGAACATTTTGAGTTCTGACTGTGAATGGTGGGTGAGAAAGACAGAGTAAGGCGTAAATTTTACAAACGCGCAAAAAGGTTGATACCAGGGGTGTTCAAAAATTAAGGTATTTATTGAGAACCAGAAAAAATTTCAAATTTCGAAAACTACCAAGATTTCAGCAGTCTTATTTGATGGCAATACTCGCAATCTTTGAAAGAACTCTGACAGTACACAACTACATGGTTGGGAATTTCACTATTGCGAATTATTTTGTAATTTGAGTTTTCTGAAAATTTCCAAAAGAAATCACAAAAAAATCGTCTTATCTCTTAAGCTAAAAAGATTTGGGCATTCTTAATTGAAGGCCGAATTGGCAACCCCTGAGATTAATCTGACTGCCACACCTACAAGTTAGGAATTTCAAACTTTGAAAATAAAAAATTTAATTTTCGTAAAATTTTTTTGAAAAAAGCACAAAAAACGTCATATCTGGAAAACTGCAAGGTTTTGAAAAATATTTGAAGGATAAAAGTGCAACTCCTGAGAGTAACTTGACAGATTCCAGTAACAGGATTGAAATCTTCAGCGTTTTGGAATTTTTTATCATCTAAGTTTTTTTGAAAACTTAGGAGAAAATCATAAAAAACGTCGTATCTCGAAAACTACAAGGATTTGAGCAGTCATAGTCAGAGGCAAGATTCTCAACCCCTGAGAGTACCCCCACAGATTCCAATAACAGGATTGAGAGCTTCAAAAATTTGGATTTTTTTTACATCTAAGTTTTTCTTAACTTCAAAAGCCGGTCTATCAAAACACGTAGGAGTTCTAATTGGCATCAACGCCAACATACCACATAACAGCATTGATACAGGCATGCAAGACTGCGTAATGGTTCAACTCAAGATATCTGTACCAATACTTGTCTGCTGTATATATTGTGCCCCTGTGTATAGCCCATACCGATGGTCACTAGATCAACTTAACTCATTGCTGAACTTAATAAAAGCAACAGAACGCGAGCAAGGCATACAAAATCTTGTCATTGTTGGAGATATCAACTTCTCGTGTACAAATTGGAAATCATTCTCATCAAAATGCGAGTACGAACAAAGCATCCTAGACAACTTCCAGGAATTAAACCTGGAACAATTCATCATAACCGATACTGGAAAGAGCCTGGATATCCTGCTCTGCAACAATCCTGATATCATACTAGACGTATACATGGACAATCGGCTCAAAAACGACTTCACCTCAGATCACCCACCTTACGGCTCAAAGTTACATA